TCCGCCATGAACCTACAGAAGTGAGTCTTTCCTGGTTAATTGACTTGATTCATTAAGTCATCCTGTTTTATTGGCCAGGCTGGGCTACACTATCTAATCCATTAACATTCAATGTTGATGAAAGACTCTATGGAACACAGAACACATTATTAGCCAAGAGGAGTGTGTGAAAATGTGACTTGTGCCTTTCCTTGGGACACATGAGACATTGAACCTCTTCAGATGGCATCCACTTGGCTGGCTTTCAGTCAGAGAAGTGCAGTTTACATTTTTGTTTGTTTGTACGTAAGAGACAGACACAGCTTTCCATCAACTCCGTAAGTCTGGTGGGATAGGAAGGACAGAGATGGAGCAGAGGTTGTTCTAACAATATGCGTGGGGTTTAATTGTTAGCTTTGATTTCAGCGCATGCACACAGCCATGGATCAAGTGTTGAGTAGGGATGGAAGGGTTTACAGAGAAGCTCAGATACTGCTCAATAAGGGTACAGTATAAGTCATTTCTGTAAAGCCAAGAGGAGAAAATAAATGTGAGGAGGGGAACTGTGCTATCCGAACAAAGCTGAAAAAAAAAATGCAGACTACTGGAAACCAACTGCACTGGACAATGTCAAAGTCTGAAATAACTTTTAAAAGTTAAATGTGGGGAACAAAAATAATTACATATGGAGAAGATGCTGTATCAGCTCCAATGTGCAATGGATTGAAAGTACAGACTCTGGAACCAGACTTCGATAGGTGGCAGCTGTGTGACCAAGAGCAATGTATTTAACTCCTCAGACCCCTCATGTGTAAAGTGAAGACCCAAACAGCAACACCTTATGGGGCTGTTGTGAGGATGAAGGTAGTTAACATATAAATACAACATGTAATGCTTTAATGAGAGGTCAAAAGCTTCTATCTCCACTGACAGTTGGCACAGTAGGAGTGTTCTCAGAACGTCTCTTTGAGAGTTCTGATCTCACATAACAGGATGAACTGAGTTCTGCTTCAGAAACAATGTGCAAATTGGGATACCGTATGTTGTCAAAAGGGTTCCGTTGGAAGAACAAAACTCTGTCCTTCACTAAAGTTGCAGAAGCCCAAGTGTGATCTCTGTTTTTTTCAAATATTGGAAGTTTATGAAATGTTTTGCAGAAGAGATAAGGGCTGGTATTCAGGGCCAGGACTAGGCTGAGGCAAGGGAGGAACCTCTTGTGGAAAATTTAAGGGATCGCCTCTGTGTGACAGAGAATATAATCAACAGCATGAAAAGATAACAAATTTATGGAACAAAATATTTGCAAATTATATATGTATCTAATAGGGGATTAATATACAGAATATATAAAAACTTCTATAACTCAACAACAAAACACTCAAATAGCCTGATCAAAAATGAAAAAAAGGCTTGAGAAGAGGCCACAGTTGGAGTTCCTGACCCTGCTGGCCTGAAGCACACAGGGTGCACATGTGAGTATCCAGAACCCAAAGAACTGGAGGACTTAACCCCATGGATGAGTCTCTCCCCACTCCTCTGGTATGCATGTGTTCTATGGGAATGGAGAACAACAACAACAAAAAAATAACTCTAAAAACTAAGAACCAAAATGAACAATGGACTTGTATAGACATTCCACAGAGAGGATATATAAATATCTCTAATAATTAGAGATTGCAAGTGAAAACCACAATGAAATACCACCTCCTCCTCATTAGAATGGCTACTATCAAAGAAAGCAGAAATAACAAATGTTAGCAAGGATAGAGAATTGGAACTCCTGTGCACTGTTGGTGAGAATGGAGCAGGTACATCTGCTATGAAAAACTGTATCAAAGTTTCTCCAGAAAACTTAAATAGAATTATCATATGATCCAGCAAGTCTACCTCTGGGTATATACCCCAAAGAATTGAAGACAGGAACTTAAAGAGGTATTTACACTCCCATATTCACAGTAGCATTACTCACAATCGCCCAAAGGTGGAAGCAATCTAAATGTCCATTGATGGATGGATGGATAAAGTGCAGCAAATACATACACATTAAAGAAAGAAAATTCGGACAGACTATACAGCACACATGCACCTAGAGGACATTGTGGTAAAGAAAATAAGGTTGTCTCAAAAGCGTAAGTGCTACATTCCCCTGACAAGAGGAACCTAGACTATCAAATTCATATGAGCAGGAAGTATTAGACTGGTGATGCCAGGGTTGCTGGGAACTAGAAAGAAGGCAGTGGTGGGTTAGTGTTGAATGACTACAGAGTTTCAGTTTGAGAAGATGAAGAAATTCTGGAGATGGATGGTGGCTATGGTTGCATGATAGTGTGAGTGCAATTAATGCCACTGAACTACACATTTCAAAAGGCTTAAAACGGTAAATTTCACATGACATGTATTTTTTTTTTTTTTGGAGAGATTTTCACTGTAGGGCGCGTGCGCTAGCCAGACAGACAGAGAGAGACATAGAGACAGAAAGCGAGAAATCACCCCCCAGGGGGGATGGTCACGCCGCAATCCCTTCTCCTCCATTCTCCTCTTGGGATCTTGGGCATGCACGCACACGCGCCCGGCGTGAGTTTTAAGCCACCGGGTCCAGGACACGAACCGCGGTCGACTACGTGGGAGTCCAGCGACATAGCCATTACGCTAACTGCTGGTTCCCACATGACATGTATTTAACCACAATGAACACATTTGCCCCCCGTGTAGGGTCAGAACCTGTCTCAGGTTGTTTCTGCTGGGTCACTGGGCTCTCCCAGGCCTATCAGGATACTCGTTTCACCCTAGTTATTACCGTGATTCCTAAATTGGAATCCTTTTGAAGTTGATTTAGTTCTTCCATCAGTGAGAGACACACACACAGAGATTCCCCAACAGGGTCTTGAGGCTGCCATCTGCCCAGCCCCAGCTACCAGCTCAGCACTCAGCATGTGAGGTGTACTAAGGGAGGTGTCTGGATGCTAACCTGGGACCTTTCCACATGAGTTAGCCTTGTAGAGCATCATGATTCACTGCCACAGCACCATCAGGCCCTGAGGTGCTGAAATTCTTTTAAGACATGCATCCTTTTGGTGAGTTTATAGGCATATTCATAGTGCATCTTGCCTGCAAGGCTGCTTTTGTTCTTTTCTTTCTTTCCTTTTTTTTAAAACAAAACACTTTATTTGGTTCATCCAGAAAACATTGGCAAAATAAATTTCAGTTGTAATTTCATATGTATTGAAAACACAGGTGATATTTATCACAATAACTTACAGATACAAATTCATGATACACTAGTCTCACGGAAGATTGTAAACATTTTGCATGGCTGTTTCTTATCACAAGACACAGAAAATACAAGAGGCAGAAAAGAAATACGTCAAAGCAGCCCCAGGGTAGGGGCGTGGGGTCAATGAGGAGGTTCGGATGCCCTCCATGAGTTGCATGAAATAGCTCACTTTGTTTACGTAGTTGAAATGAGGGCTTCCTAATTCCCATATGCACATTTATATAAGATGGTCTACAAACAAGAACATCCCCCTTGAGGCCTAGAAAGTTTCTGTTTACTTCATTTCTGTTTCCTTCAGCATAAAGCTCGTCATGGAAAGTTCCCGAGGTAAGCAAATGAATTGGGTGTTTTCACAAAGAAAGTGTAAAGAAAGTTACAGGTGTGTTAACTGACGGTGGGAAAAGTAATGGGCAAGATGGCAGTAATGGAACGAAGGGCTCTTGGCAGAGGGGTGGGACACTGTCAGCTCACATCCTTCTCTATGGCTTGTCTGAAGATGAGGAAGGAGGGAAGGAAGGGGAGGGGAAAAGGAAGGAAAGAAAGGAGGGATGAAGGAAAGAAGAAAAGGAGGGATGGAGGGAAGGAAGAAAGAAAGGAGAGGGGGGAAAGGGGAAGGGAGGGAGAGGAGAGAAAAGGAAGAAGGGGAGAAAAATAAAAAAAGGAAAAGGAAGAAGGAAGGAAGAGATGAGAAGGGAAAAAAGGGGATAAGGAGAGAAGAAGATAGGGAAGGAAGGAGGAGCCAGCAGGGCCAGAGGGAAGGAGGAAGCAGGCTGCTGTGCACTCCGCACATCCCGTCTCAGACAATGCTGGCTCCTTGCTCAGTCTCGCCCCAGTGTTTGATCCCATGAAAGCCTTATAAATGTTTCTCCAGTGTGCCCTTTTTAGGACCTCAGTCATCTGGGTTAGTGCCATCATCCATGGCTGGCTTTTTTGGCTCCTTCAATCCACATTCTTCACTGCTGGCCACCTTTCAAAAGTCCTATCTAGTCAGGGCATCCTCCCCTTGCTCTCAGGATCCTCACTGCTTTAGCAAAATCTCTGAGCTCCCCCATCCCACCGGCTGGCCCTGCTCTGCCCAGACATCCAGCCTCAAATATGCAGTCCATGTCTGATGAACCTCTTTCTGCTTCTTGAACAATGGCACCCTGCAGTCTCTGGGTCTCCACCCTTCCTGGTCTCTGCTTGGAACACCTGTGACCTTTTCGTTTCCTGCAACACACGTTCTCTTGCCTGGTGCCTGGATGAATCTTTCTAATGCTTTAAGGCTCCACTTAAAAGCCTTAAAAACTTTCTAGAACAGTTTTCCTGAAGATCTTCCCCCAAACCCCATGGGGTC